TATATATATATATATATGAATTTGAAAATTGTATAAGATAATAAAATAATATTTTAAGAGGTGAAGTTGATTTTTAAATCTATTGTTTGTAGTTATTACAATGTGTATTTTTTTAGAGTAAATTACACGAATCGTCCTTCGTGCAGATGCCAAAATGCATGTTCAATCTCTATTTTCAAAAATTAACTCAGATCATCTCTTGTTTGTTTAAAACATGCACGCTTCATCCTTGATATGCGGGTTTGTTGCGATTTTAGTCTGTTCCAGATCTGAAATAACCATAAAGCTCTTTATATATTTGTTCCCATTTAATTTAATGTTATTATTATTATTATTAAATAAATAAATAAATTAATAAGTATCCCCCACCCACCCCTTATTTCTTTTCCATTTCCTTTGTAACGTTATATCCGCCCACGTTCGGTTCACTGCCCTCATTGTTTGTTTCAAACACATCACGTACTGTAAAATTCTCCAAAACAAATTCCACCTTAACCATTAATTCGGGAGAAACAGTAAGATATGTAGTTGAATCACCCGTCAATTTTAGTAGAATTAGGATCTGATACTTCTACCGAACCAGACATCTCCATCTTGACTTTTGCAGCATCGCTAATTCAGCTCCAGCTTCAACTTCTTATGTCATTGATTTATGATCATCAACAAGGGTAGGTGTGGTTGCTGATGATGATTTCTTGCGGCTTATTGGCGTCTTCCGAGGAGGCATGTCTGATTTATCTTTAATATTTGTATATGACCCAACTGCATTGACTTTTGTGACTGGACTAGGGTTAGGGTTCTTGAAGCTATTAAAGGCGATGAAAGTACCGATCGATCTACAAAAGAGAGAGGGAGGGAGAAAGAGATGAAGAAAGGTAACAAAGTATATTGGACCACCAACACCAACACCACCAGCAACATACGTGTCGATCGAAATCTTCTTTCTTCTCTTGTGACTCGTGGGTTCCAATTTGCAAGTTTAGGGTTTAGTTAGGTTTGATTTGCAGGTTTTGGTTTTATCAATGTTTGATTTCAGGTTTTGGGTTCATCAATTTTTGGGGTTTCCCGGATCTTTGGGTATGAAAGGGTGGGATAAGTTCAATGATGGTCAAAGGGGGTCACCGGAGAAGCTTAAGGGGTCACCGACAATGTTCATCTGGTGTAGTTCCACCTGAGACTGAGACTGTAGTGGTGATGTTTTGGTCTCACCATAGAGTTAGGGAGAGGAAAGGAAACCAGGGAAAAGAAAAGGGGGCGGGGTTGGTGGGTGGAGGTTTTTTTCTTTTTTAATCTAAAAATAATAAACAGATAAAAAATATTAAAAAAGAAATTGTTAAGGGAAATATAGTCTTTTTATGTCGGAAGAGATGAAGCATGCAAAGTTAAATCACACGAGAGACGGCTCGAGTTAATTTTTAAAAATAAGGATTGGATGTGCCTTTTAGCACCTACATGAGGGATGATTCATATAATTTACTATTTTTTTTTATAATACATATTGTTTCATAAAATATTAATTATTTATTTAGATCATACTAAATATGCTTTCAGGTCTCTTCAACAACAAAAAGATAGGTCTATTCAACATTAAAAAGATAAATAACTTTTTGATGAACTTATATTCCCCTCCGAATCATCATCATCATTCGTTTTTTTTTTAAAACATACACTATATTTTTTGTTTTTCTAATACGTATTTGAATTAAGTCCAATATCAAGTTATAATAAAATGTTGAATTAATTCCAATATCAAGTTATAATAAAATTTTATAGCAATTACTAATTTACTATTTATCATTTTGCATCCATAAAACTCTTAATGTTGGTTTTTTTATTAGACAATCTATTTTTACATATATGTTGTATTCTTTAGAGTTCTAAGTACATAACGATTTTATAACCTATTTTATTTATTATTTATAATTCATACATATTTATCATTCAAATTGTAATTTAGTTCATCTTTTGTGTTCACGTATGTTTTTTTTTAATTTTTATATTACATTACTTTCTAATTTAAAATAAAATAATAATATTTTCATTATTGATTGTCTTTTTTTTTTCAGTCGATTAAAATTTACATAGCATTATACAACATGATAACTTTATCATTAGTAGATCTAGACCTAAACAACGTTTGCTTATATCTTCAAATTATTTTACATGTTAATTTAAGTTAACGATTATACAATTACGAACAAATCATCCAACTTTATATTAAAACAACTTTTTGAAAATCTATGATTAATGATCATGTTTTTAAAAGTTTCAATGTTATTTTACTTTAAAAAAAAGGTTATGGTGCGTTTAGTTGCGAAAAAATGGACCGTTTTCCGGAAAATTTTTCCAAGAAATATGAGAATTTTGAAAATGCGTTTAGTTCGTCTATTTTTCTAAATTTTTCACAGAAAATGAAAAATTTTCATTTTCTAAAATTACAAAGAAGTTGGAAATTTTTGGAAAACAGATAATCATTGTTTTCCATATTTTTCTGATTCTAAAATAAGTCTAAAATATAAACACACACCCACTCCCACCCCAACCACACCCCTACCTACGCACACTCAC